GTTGAAGACAAGTTGAGAACTGCATACGTTTTTTAAGTAACTGGTGATGTACGTACATATTATGGTGGATGGCTTCTGCTAAGGGACAACTTTAGATAGCACCATTTAAATAGTGTACATTGTGTTGGGGTGTGGCACCTCGAGAAATATTTTCAAATTAAATAGATAATTTTCTAAGAGTTAAAGTAAGAGTGCATTTGTTGTGAACTTTCCAAGGAGGTTGGACTTCAGTAGCATCCTGCTCTGTGTGGTACTGCTACATGTAATTGAAATTACGGAACGTACATGTACGGTAGAAGCGAAGACAACCAAGAGCTAATGTACAACAGGTACATGTACCCATGCGTTTGTAATCTCAGCACCACATTGCGAGTGCGTGTACATGTACAGTATGCTTGTGTATGCAATGCAACCACTTGCACGAGTTGCTACAGGTACAAGACTGCTTACAGGTACAAGTTGAAACTCATGATGCATGATACATGTACATGTGCTGTAGCTGGCCGCGTCACTAGATGTATGATTAGTGACAGAGGTTTCGTGCAGAACTTGTTGAGCTGTTTTGCACTTCAGCACAGTACTAAAGACTACTGTTTAAACTGCTTAATCTGATCCATTTAAAGGCCTACTGCACAGTAAAGTCAAGAATTTTCTGCTTTCTGAAGTCAAATTCTGCTTTCTTCGGCTTTCTAAATTTTGTGTACAAAAACTGTGTGTGACTGTACATCTGTACTGTAGGCCTACATTTACCGTACATCTACAGGTATCTTTGGCATAATGATACATGCAGGGCCTACATGCACTATGCTACTGTGATCTTGGTCTGGTCCCTGTCCCTATTGATCTATTCATAAAGCCATGAGACGTCTGGGCACTATGTACAGAACGGGGACCCCTGTGATCTCCGCGTTGCGGAGCCGGAGTAAATCAATACCAAATTCTGCGATATCGCAAAGGAAAAATAGGAGGGGAAACGCCACAAATGTTACTTTCAAAATGAGTTAAACAGTAAAAAATGAGTTGTCGTTCCTAATTTGGGTTCATATTTATTTGATTGATTGTGTAGAAACATCAAAAATATTTTTTTTTTCTGAGAATTGCATTTTCCGTTTTCTTCCCCCAAATCCACGATTTTTGCTGATTTTCCGCAAAGCGGAAAACTCTTGACTTTACTGTACAGTTACATACGTGTACGATCTAGCAACTTCATTTGCTAAAGGACGACATATTCCTTCAAAATTCACACAGAAAAGAAAATCAATCTATATTTTGAAAAGCAGGACAGTACAGCTTCAACAAAATTAATTAGAACTGTGGAAAAAAAGGTTTCAACTTACCCCATGGTCCAACTATGTCTTCCTGATTTAACCTCAAATTTAACTTATTACTAAATTAACTCATTTTAGTTTGAATTTGGTTGGGTAAATTGTATTGAAATTCACAAATTTTCCTAAGCTTGTAAATCTTGTTTATACTGATGAATTAGAATCTGAACATGCCAATGTTATGACATACATGTACAAGTAGGTACATGTACACGCACACATGTGCACTGGTACAGTCAATGGATATTTTCATGTACATGTCCATGTACAGTATACATGTACATGTACTCAGGCATTGTATCAAATTGTATACTGACGTACATGTAATGTACATGTAGATACATCTACATGTCCATATACGGTACACAGCATCAAGGACAATGATTTGTGCTGATATTGCCTCGGTTACTGTACATGTACATATATGTACATGTAAATTTTTATAACGGTGCATGTTCATCATACTAATGGATTATGCTAAGCTGACAGAGATATGACCTACTGGTACCTGATAATGAGTACATTATTTTACATTTTAAAATACTACATGTACTGGTTTACTGTACGTGTGTTAATTCATACTTTCCATGTTTGAAGGATACCATATCATTTGCGTACATATACCTGTATCTTCGTTCTGACAGGTTATCTTTTTGAAAACGTAATAAGAAAAAACAAACAACTTGGAAGAGAATTCTTTGGCCCATTAGGGGTCCCTTTTGATTAAAAAAAATTCTGTGTACAGTACATCGTCTACAAGTGTTAACACACCCTTGCAATCCTCATACATGTACTTAAAGGCAGACACCTGAGTAATATTTTAAGCAAAAAGGCCACAAGGCACAACCTCTGACGAATCAGAAAACGGATGACGTCAGGTGACGGAAAGAGCATTTTTTTCCCTACCCAGCCCAGAGGGGTAAAATCAGTAGGCAGACACATACGTGTACATGTACACAAGTATTGCGATCTTATGCATGCATCGTCGTAGACAAACGCTAGTGATGATGATGAGGAGGATGATGCTATGCTTAGATACAAGGGAGTGGTAATAAGATGAGGCAGATGGCTTGATCTACATGTATGGTGCAAGAAAATAGGATTTTATATGTGTGTGTGTGCGTGTCACACTATTAAAACAGGTAGGTTGAGTGGTTGTCGGTATTAAGTGGTGAACAATGAAGAGTCAAAAATCATGCTGCCTTTGCTCTGACTTTTAGCAATACAAACTGTGTCATTTTTTTCTGTTAGTCATTGTTTCTATGAAACTATGATTGGCAAATCTGCTGTTCTCAAAATACCCAATATGTACATATAACAGGAGGCCTGAATGTATGGACAGGTACCATTGAAATTGCACAGTGCACATGTACCTATGTAAACTGTTACATGTAATGAAATACCCTTTCCTGCAAGCAGGCACATGTACATTTATTACGACATTTCAGGTGTGCATAGAAACTTGTACATGTACCATGCACATACATTGGATGTATCGTACAGTAATACCGGTACATGTACGCATGTACGTACTAACCGTATGTATGTAGTGGGACTACTTTAAGGTAATAAGGTATATTGCATCATGGCTGCATTAAGGGTTATTACAAGTATGTGTAATGGTCCTTAGCAGCCTACGTTGTATTCAAGACAATCCTACCGTAGATAAAAAAACTGAGAGCATGCATGCATGTACATGTACATTACATATATACATACATGTACACTTCAGATCTGTACATGTACATACATACCGGACACACCTGCCTGTACGTACAGGTGTACATGTACATGTACTGTAGATGTGCTGTTAAAGACATGACAGTAACACATGTACATGTGTACATGAACTTACGGTACTCGTTCATGTACATAATGTATACATGTATTTTAGAATTAGTCATGCACAACTTTATTTGTCTTGATTTGTTTTTTATATCGAACAAGTACCGGTATGTTTCATCACCACTCTCGAGATCGGTTGCACCAAAGATTCTGAATAATCTCCCATACACCATCACAGCTGCTGATTCTTAATTGAGACACATTCAGGTCCATGCTAAAAGGCACATCTCCTTGCCCAACTGTAGTTTTGAGCCCTCTTTGTTCACACACAATCATTGACATTCAGACTACTAACTGTGATAATGGTGGGAATCAGAGCCAATTGCCGTGATGAGTGCCTTATATGTCAGATAGGGGTTCTATAGTGTAAATTATTATTATGATTATTATTTATTTAACCTCAACAACAAAACAACAAACATCCAAAAGAGATACATTGTAAGCAGTAGCAGAAAACAAACAAGCAAAAACAAAACAATATAAGGTAAAATAAAGGTACACATACAGTGCAAACAGGCAACTAGATAAAACAGCCAGGATGCGATCAAAACGAGACGGAGCTTGATGTATGTGAGGAGCACATGGGTGTGAGAAACTGAAAATGATCTCTGACATATACACCCCTCAGAAGAAAAGACAGGACAAAATGAGAAGGCCTAGACTATGCGGGTCAGGGAAGATAAAGTAAATTTAATTACTGTTGCTTGAAAAAAAGTCACCCCGCACAGTACATTACACACACCTGCATGTTCCATCCACTGTATATGTACATATAAGTCTGGGTAGAAATTAACATTGTAGTTATAAGTACATAAATGTACATGTACATGTTAAGTGCTTGTACATGTACATGTACATTGTACTGAACGTACATGTAAATGCATATAGTGCAGTGCATTAACCCTAACTTTCCCTAATCACACAGAATTCAACACCAGTAAAGTGTGTGAATTTGTGGCACTGGGTACTGTACCCCTAAACTGCTCGTGCATGACATGGGTTCAGGCATACCCAAAATAAACAGAGGCCAACAGTTTTTGTGCACAGTTTACCATATGGTGTTGGAATGTGTGTGAATGGGTATGGTTCCTAGTAAGTCACTCAGGGGAGTTAGGGTTAAAATCTCAAAATGTACCAGTATTCACTCTATGCTGGCTGCCACCATCCGTAGGCATGCACAGCCTGGATCTGGCAGCTTTGCACAACAAATATTGCCAATTCAGTGATTCCTGTGGGGTATATTGCTCTGTAATTTTGTGTGTGCTGTGTTACTCAGTCAGTCAGTTATACCATGTGATTGGATAGTGTGTTAAAAAGCTGCGTTGACATGATACTGTCGCGATTGTACATGTACAAGCTGCCACTTCGAGGCTTTGCATGCTTACGGCGGCAGTGTGCAAAGAGCAAATGCCATACACTAGCAGTACATGCATATTCAGTATCGGCAATCACGGAGGTATATAAAAAACCTGGACTTGCAACACCTTTGTGTGAAAAAGAAGCCAACCAGCGGCCATTTTACCGAGCCGAATACAAAAGCGTGGGTTGGCTCCCTTCTGTTGACGTCAGGAAGCACAAAGGCGGGCATTGCCAGGAAAGTCTTGTATTCGGCTCGGTAAAATGGCCGCGAGTGGATTCAATGACTCTATAAGCTGAAGGGCATTGCGAGTCCAGATTTTATTATACAAGTCCGTGTCAGCAATGCCTAAATGCCCTGGAACAGCACATGTACATGTACATTGTAGCTTTTATGTGCATACATAGGCAGGTACATACTGTATGCATATACAGTCCTCTAAAATCTTGATTCCTTTTTGTTTATCTTTGCAGATACACTGACTGAAATTCTTCCCCTGTATCGTGTCCCACCATGTCTTCATCCTCATCGGGCGGGACCCAGGTTCTTAACCAAGAGGCCATTAGTAGTGGCACCAAGGAGGTAATCAAAGGGCTGGAACAACTCAAAAATGAGCACAATGACATCCTCAACAGCCTGTACCAGTCCTTGAAGGTAGTGAAGAAGGACCATGGAGATTCCAACCTTGTGGAAGAGAAAACTGGCATCATTGAGAAGTCATTGGAGAGCCTTGAGCTGGGACTTGGGGAGGCAAAGGTGGGTGGACTAATTCAGGCCTGCCAACTTAAAACGATTTTGCCATACATTTTCTTCCACATACAATTATTAATATGTGTTTTGACCATTTTGACATGCCCGAAGAAAATGTCCATGCATGTACACATACATGTACCGGTACATGTACACATGCACAGCTTACTGGTACAATGTTCCATACAGTTTCATAATTCGGAATAAACTTGGAATGGAATCATCTTCTGTTCACAGGCATTTCTCAAAATTTTAATGAAAATGTAAGTGTTGAAGAAGACGGATACTATATGTACATGTACCTGTATGAGGTTGTAGTCCGTTTTCAAATGGACCTCTCTACATGTACGTACTGTACACCTGTACAGAAGTGTTGCCTGGTGACTGTTCAAGGTCTGTTTACAAATTTTAAAGGAAATTCTTCAAAACATCAAAATAAATTATTACATGTACCGGTACATACTAGTAAATGTACCGGTATTTGTGAAAAATTGGCTTTCAGCACCGGTACGGTACTGTACCTGCTAACATGCCTTTCTGATCATTTTTAATGATCTTTCTGATCGTTTTAAAATAACAACCATAAATGCTGCAGTTAACCCATACCAATGTGTACTGGTACTTCTGTTGGTCAAACTCAAAAGCCATTATGTGGCCAGTTAATGGTTGATGCAGCACCACCCAAACAAGTGGCCCCTGAATGACATGCATATGTTTCTACTTTACTCAGCATACATGTACAGTAA